GTTTCCTTTTCCCCTTTTTATTTATTTATTTATTTATTTTCCTATTTTTTACTTCTGTCTTTTTTTTTTCCTCTCTATTTTTTTCCCCCTTTCTTTCTTTCTTTCTTTTTTCCTTTTTTTTCTTTCTCTCTCTCTCGTTTTCTTTTTTTTTTCTTTTTTTTTTTTTATTTTTTTTTTTCTTGTAAATATCTATCAAGATTGCATCAGTAATTATTATGAATTATTATCGGATAAAAATATTCTCTGCCATGTTGTGTCAGACAGTCTCTTTGAGATTCTCTCCGCGATACAACTCCATTATAATTGGAATACTTACTAAAGTAGATATCGCTGCATCGAACAGGGAACTTTTATTACAACATTAAAATCACTATAACATGCGTCACAATTCATTCTGCAATAACAATTATTATATCATATAATTTATGAAAGAAAATATTCATCGATGAAACTGCCAAAACTATAACCACCCTTTTTAAATACAAGCAATTAGGATAAATTAATGTTTTAGATTTATGAAACTTAGGTTACCGTTTACAATACTCTACCGTACTTTAATTCAAGATTATTCTACAAGCTTCCAACGTCTAGACATATATATTTGTATTAAGTTGGATGCACTGCTGACTTACGTGGTTATAGATTTGCCGCCACTTATTCAAATTCAAAATAAAAATTAAATCATTTATTCTTACGACATATATCAACGATTATATATACTTTTATCAAATTTCTTATATTATTTCTTTTTCTTTTTTTTTTTCACATTGATATTATAATTAATAACAATGAAACTATAATTATAATTATTAATCATATAAATGAGTATTGTTAACGATAAGATGTATAAATATCATATATTCGGGCGGTTTAAAAGTATAAATTGCAAATATTTATATATCGAAATTATTTTTATTTGTAAATTAGACAATGATAATTTATATATAAAAGTTCATAAAAAAAAAAAAAAAAAAAAATATCGTATCGTATAATCGATGATTTTATAATTATTTAATCAGTCATATTTAACTGAAGATATTTTAATGATAATAATCATTTTTCGAATTTTTTTTATCTATCTACTTTTAATTTGTTTTTTTTTTTTTTTTTTTTTTTTTTTTTTTTAATTAGATCTTTCTATAATATTCAAGTATATATGTTCATTTTAAACGATTTATTTTTATACACCCGTTACATGATCGTTCGGTTAAACTCGTGTAAGTTCGTACGATTACGTGTATCAACTCGTTAGTAGCCGGCCGACATACACGTAATAACGACGAGTTGAGTTCGCAAATTGTTATTAATCTTTTTGTACGTTCTAAATAAAGTCAATTGATCTCTTTTTTCACGAAGGATCGACATATTTTCATTCATTCGTATACGTGCACGAATTTGTACGTGTTAAACAACATGAAACTGCTTTTTCTAAACGCAAGTAATGACAAAACAAAAACGCAAAACAAGAAAGAAAAATAAAATACTCATTCTTGATAATTCTAATATATTTTCAATCTTTCAATTACATAATATTGATCGTCTTTTCACATTTACGTTTGTAGTAATATCGCTAGATGAAATACGATGTTTCGGCTTTTTTTTTATGCCCCTCCCATACCCATCGGTTTCTAGGACGAAGTTATCGACGATAATTTGATAGCAACGTCAACAAGCCTTCGATTTTGTTCATTTTCGTCGTGGAAAAAACATTTGCTTCGCGATAGTCGAACTGCTAAGATTACATTAAAGATATTTCTCTCTTTTTTTGTTTTCCAGTTACCTTTATCGCTAATAAGCCAAACCTTATTAAAGTCGGAACTCGTTTGCTATCTTCCATGGCTGGAGAATTGCAAAAACATGAGGTCGTTCCTGATGTCATTGATAAGGTACCAACTGCGGTACTGGACGTGGCCTATCCTAATAATCTTGTCGTCGAAATTGGTAAAGTTTTAACTCCGACACAAGTTAAGAATCAACCTACAGTTAAATGGACTGCCGATGCCGATACTTTTTATACTCTTTGTATGACAGGTAAGTTTTGAACTATTTTAATTTATATTATAAAATAATGATTGTTTTAATACAAGAAAAAAATTTAAATAAATATATATATATATATATTGTTTCTTTCATAGATCCAGATGCACCCAGTAGAAAAGATCCCAAATTCCGTGAATGGCATCATTGGTTAGTTGGCAACATACCTGGCAATGACATTAAAAAGGGTGAAACTCTTTCAGAATACATTGGATCTGGTCCACCAGAAGGAACTGGTCTTCATCGTTATGTTTTTCTTCTATATAAGCAACCAAAAAAATTAACTTTCGATGAGAAACATTTAACTAATAGAAGTGGCGATAACCGTGGTAAATTTTCTATTAAGAAGTTCGCAAAAAAATATAACCTTGGCGATCCTATTGCTGGGAACATGTATCAAGCTGAATACGATGATTATGTACCAATCTTATACAAGCAACTTGGTGATTAAAATGTTTTACTTTCATTAATAATAGCATTTAGTCATGCTATACTATCAATATAAAATATAAAAGGATACATTTATATAGTTTACTACAGGGTTCATAAAGGAAATGGTACTATGTACTATGATTTTCAATAAAGTTCAGAAATGTATACAAGTATTATCATTATTTTCTTTTTATAATTAATATAATTACATATTATGAGATAAATGAATATGAGAATAATTGCGAGATATTTTACTCAATGATTCCACCTTACAACCCATACAATAGTTAGATCAAAAATATTTAAAAAATGTCACATATTATTGATAGTATTTCAATAAAAAGATTCACATTATCAATAGTTGTAAATATATTCTCATTACATTTAAAACAGAAAACATTAATATTCTACATATATACAAAACCTTTACGTAACCTATAATTACACAAAATTGTAAAACTAATATCTTCATACAAAATTTGTACAACATAATTTATCATAATATCAGAAATTTCTAAATTGTCCTGCCAAATGAATTTTGTAGCAGAGTCAAACGATATTAATAAGTCCCGTACTATTGTCCTAGTATTATTTTAATATACACAAGAAGATACAAAGTTATTTATGGAAATAATATAATTATATTGAAATAATATAATAATAACAGTATTAACTTATTTATATACGTTGTTGTGCATGTAATTTGTTTAACATACCTTATCAATAACATATTATCATATACTTAATAATTATTTATAGTATTGTATACGGTATGATTTTATTCCAAATCACGATCTAGTCCCTGTAATTTGGATTTTTGAACAAGAGAATATGACATATTCACTCGTCAAATGATCCTGTTACAATTCCAGTTTTACGGGAAAAATTTTCGAAGGCCCAGTAATTTGGATTCTTGAACAGGAGAATATGACATACCAGGAGGTGGCACGTTCTCGCATGCCACCTCTTCGCTCGTCATATGATCCTGTTACAATTCCAGTTTTACGGGAAAAATTTTCGAAGGCCCATTAATTTGGATTTTTGAACAGGAGAATATAACTTACCAGGAGGTAGTGCGCGAGAACGTGCTACCTCCTTGCAAGTCATATGATCCTGATACAAATCCAGTTTTACGGGAAAAATTTTCACATGTCCAGTAATTTGGATTTTTGAACAGGAGAATATGACATACCAGGAGATGGCACGTTCTCGCATGCCACCTCTTCGCTCGTCATATGATCCTGTTACAATTCCAGTTTTACGGGAAAAATTTTCACATGTCCAGTAATTTGGACTTTTGAACAGGAGAATATAACTTACCAGGAGGTAGTGCGCGAGAACGTGCTACCTCCTTGCAAGTCATATGATCCTGATACAAATCCAGTTTTACGGGAAAGATTTTCACATGTCCAGTAATTTGGACTTTTGAACAGGAGAATATGACATACCAGGAGGTAGTGCGCGAGAACGTGCTACCTCCTTGCAAGTCATATGATCCTGATACAAATCCAGTTTTACGGGAAAAATTTTCACATGTCCAGTAATTTGGATTTTTGAACAGGAGAATATGACATACCAGGAGGTGGCACGTTCTCGCATATCACCTCTTCGCTCGTCATATGATCCTGATACAAATCCAGTTTTACGGGAAAGAATTTTGCGGTCATAAATTCATAAACCGATTCTATTCCGGTTCATGATTGTATTCCCTGGTATTCGTTATTTATAATTATCTCCGAATTATTCCGTAAACCTATTTCTAATAATTAACTTCGTAAATTTCGTCGAAATCGTACCACGACTGAATATATAATAATTATTAACTCATTAATTTTACTTAATTAATTAATTCTATCATTGAAATTGACGGTTTACATTTGATACAATAAAATTTACGTTATTTTTTTATTTTCTTTCTTAAAGGAGCACGTTTCTTTCTTATAAGAATATCCCTATACTCATCTAAAAATCTATATTATAAATTTATATGTTGAAATTTTTTTCTAATCATTACTTCTTGTTCTTTGATTATACATTTTAGAGTGTGTCCATTAAGGTTATTCATTACACTTTTCGTTCGAAGCGTGTGCGACTTCAGAGGCGTGTGGACGAAATATCAACTATATAAGATATAGTTTTGGACAAAATAATATTATTACGTTGTCTCTCGTAGTGGTCACAGACAAATATATTAGAAAATAATGTATATATTTGACAGATATAATAATTAATATATAAGTATACGACAAAAATGACATAATTTCGTCGAATGTTCTGTCAAAAGTAATTAGTGAATATTTATATTTATTATATTATTTCAATATGAATGATAATTTAATTATTTCATTTAATATAAACTAATAATATTAATAATAGTGATCTTCAAGAATAAAGCTCAAATGAAAGTTCATTTTTGATAGTTCTGATAAACGTCGTCTTTCAATTATTCATAATTCATCCATCTTTTGACCCGGATGTGGAATTAAATACGAGAGCTTCCGGTTTTTCAATTTCAAATTTTATTCCTTCGACGAAGTTAGCAGCGATAGGTATTAGCAACTATTAGTAACGTCAACAACGTTCGATTTTGTTTATCTCGTTGTGTAATATAAATTGTTTCGAATTAATTAGATCGATAAGATATTCATTTGAAAAAAATTATTTGTCTTATTACCGATTTTTTTTCTCTTTTTCATTAAAAAGACGATCCTTAAAATTGAAACTCATTAATTGTTTTTCCATGGCTGGAGAATTGCAAAAACATGGAGTTATTCCCGATGTTATTGATAAGGTACCAGCAGCCGTATTGGAAGTGGTCTATCCCAATAATGTCGTTGTTGAGATTGGTAAAGTTTTAACACCCACACAAGTTAAGGATCAACCTATGGTCAAGTGGACTGGCGATTCCAACACTTTTTATACTCTTTGTATGACAGGTAAATTGAGATCTATTTTAATTTACATTATAAGTTAATGATTGTTTTACGATAAGCAAGAAAAATTAAATATATACCTTTTTTTTCTCTCCCCTTATAGATCCCGATGTACCAAGCAGAAAGGATCCCAAATTGCGAGAATTGCATCATTGGTTAATTGGTAATATACCTGGTAACGATATTAGTAAAGGTGAAATTCTCTCTGAGTATATTGGCTCTGGTCCACCAAAAGGAACTGGTCTTCATCGTTTTGTTTTCCTTCTATATAAGCAACCCAAGAAATTAACTTTCGATGAGAAACGTTTAACAAATAAAAGCAACGAACACCGTGGACAATTTTCTATTAAGAAGTTCGCAAAAAAATATAACCTTGGCGATCCTATTGCTGGGAACATGTATCAAGCTGAATTCGACGATTATGTGCCAATATTGCATAAGCAACTTGGTGGTTCTATCTTCTAATAAATAAATATCAATAAGAAACTATAAAAAAAATGAACAAAAAAGAACTAAAAAAACAAACTATAAAAAGGGCATTCGTACAATTTATTCTAGATTATAATTGAGTAATAAAATAATTCGAGATACCATGGTTGTTACTATACTATGGTTTTTAATAAATTTCTGAAATACAGACAAATATGCTCGTGGTAATTTTCTTTAATTTTTTATTTAATTACATGAGACTGTAAAAGAAGAAGAAAGAAAAAATAATAATAATAATATGAAGTTAGAAAATAATTTTACAATCGTTTATCGTTTAATTTACATCATTTGTTTAAGGATCCAATTTTGATGATATTTTTATCAGGTATTCCAAACATACCATGTGTCGTCGTTGGTGGGAAGAGAATCTTGTGGTGGGGATGACTTCAAATAGGACATTCATTTTCTACGGCAATGCATTTACGTCGTTGCTACCGTTCCTATCGTGTCAAGGATGAAGCTTCAACAATTTTTAGGTATGTCTTAGACTATTTGATTTCATTTATTTTTATCTTTTTATATCGTTCGAATCGTCTTTACAAAAAAAAAAAGAGAATACTCATTATATAATAAAAAAACGTATAAACGATATGCTATCTCTTTCTCTCTTTCTCTTTGAATAAGAGTAAATATAAAGAAAAAATATACATATATATATATATATATATATATATATATATATATATATATATATGTTGTGATTTATTATCAGATTGATAAGGAGATTATTTTTAGGAATTTTTTTGAGCATAATCAGTCTCGCATTAGCGGACGTAGCGTCGAAATTCAAAGAAGCGAAGATTCAACCTGATATATTGGATTCCGTTCCCACTGAAAAAATCGAGGTATCCTTCTTTACGGATTTCTATAGAAATAAAAATTTTTAATAAAACAAATATTTACGAATGTTTATTGATAAAGAATTTTTAATTGCAAGGTGAAGTATGGCAAGGACACAATTGATCTGGGAACCGAATTGACGCCAACTCAAACACAAGAAATTCCGGAGATCCATTATAAACATGTGGGAGGACTTCTTTATACTCTTATTATGACAGGTAAATATATATTTTTTTCTTTTTTATATAATGCTATATATATATATATATATACATATATATACGAACGAAAGGAGTGTCACAAAAAGAGATCTATATCTTCAAAATCTTTGTTAAATTTTATACAAGTACTCTATCGAGTATGAGAAAATTTGTAAGAAATTTTATTCAATATACATGTTGAAAATGTATGTAAATATGTATATATGTATGTATGTATATCCTATTTACCATTCTCTTATTTGCGAAGAAGCTCGAAAGGAGTGACACGATACTGAATGACCTTAGATCAGTGAAGAGACAGACCACTTTCACCAACTTCGAAACCTGTTTGCACGCTCGACTTCGTTCGTTCGTTTCTTTGATCTATTCAAACACGTAAATGAGAAAATGTTAAATGTCGTCAGTCTTTCATCTGCGAATCAAAAGCGTTTGCTTATCTGTTTTTATATGAGACTCTTTCTTTCGCCTTTATAGAAACATATTACATTGATCCTATCTCTCTCTCTCTCTCCTCCTTTCTCTCTCTCTCTCTCTCTCTTTTTTATCTCTTTATTGTATAATAAAATGGCCGATAATATATTAACAAAGTAATTTTATCTCTAAAAGAAAGAAGAAAAAAAAAACAACGAGGATATTAAACCATGCAGTGCTTCTTGCGATCTATACTATAAATATATACTTGTTTCTACTTTCTTGTGCTTTCTTTTTTTGTTTTTTTTTTTAATCAGTAAAAAAATTAATTAAAAATTACATAAACGAGAAAATAATAAGTTAATAACAATAAGTTACCGATCGATTTTCTTCTTCTTCTTTTTTCTCTGTTCATAGATCCTGACGTACCAACCAGAGGATACAACAGAGAATTCCGTCATTGGATAGTTGGAAATATACCCGAGGAAAATGTTGCTAAAGGTGAAATACTTGCCGAATACGTAGGGCCAGCTCCACCTAAGGATACCGGAAAGCATCGTTATGTTTTCCTTATTTATAAACAAAATCAAGGTGCCATTACATTCGACGAAAGAAGATTGAGTAATCGGTGAGTAATCAACGATCGATGATGTTCTATAAATTAAATTATTAATTTTAATTCGATTATTGTACTATACTTCTCTCTCTCTCTCTCTCTCTCTCTCTCTCTCTCTCTCTTCCTCCCACTCTTTTTTCTTTCTATCATGTTTTATATATTTTTTTATAAATTATATGGGATTTATAGGGATGGCAGATTCCGTGGTAGATTTTCAACGAAGAAGTTCGTGGAAAAATATAATTTGGAGGGACCGATAGCAGGGAACTTCATGAAAGTGGAATACGATGATAACGTGCCTTCTTATCACAAGCGTTTAGGATTGTAAAGAGCTTCTCCATTATTTTCTTTTTTTTTCTTTTTCTTCTATCTCTCTTATTACTCCTTCTATTTTTTTTTTTTTTTTTTTCTTAGACAGCGAGTTCTCCCCCATCATCAAGTTTTTTTTTGTGTCTTTTATACGAATGGAAAGTATTCAATATAATAATGATAATGATAACAAAAAAAGTAACAATAATAATAATAATAATAATAATAATAATAACAACAATAATAGAGTCAAAATAGAACGTCAGTTCTTCGATATTATCACTCTCGTATTTATCTCTTATCCTTTCTACTTCTTCTTCTTTTTTTTTTTTCTTCTTTTCTTCTTTATTAATCTGCTTTTTATTTTCCTTTTCATTTCTTTTAATCATTTTATAAATATAAAATGTACAGGGTATTACAATCCTAATCTCTCCGTGGTGAGATTACATTAATGATGTCTCGAGTATCCCTATCTATAGTAATAAATTCTTAAGCCTAATATGCTTACGTCCTAAGATATTGATTATTTTTCATTAACAATTAGTTGCTATTTTTCCTTTTCTTTCTTCTTTTTTGTTCTCTTTCGTTTTCCTTTTTTTTCTTCCTCTTTTTCTTTTCTTTTATTTTCTTTCCTTCTTTCATTTTCTTTTTTCTTTTTTTTTATCAATACGTTGGTACATAATAATGACTAGCGGCCTTGGATAATATTTCATTCGATCAATCGACAAACGATTATTTAAATTGATTTCAATCGATTAAATTAAATTTATTAATTGTTACTCAATTAGTTGGATTAAATAATTAACGATTGGTGTAATCATTATCATGTGAAATTAATATTTATTCCTATATATATATATATAGAAATAAACATTATATACAGTTTTTTTATAACGGTATAGTTAGATAATGCGCAAATTTATGAATACAATAAAAATGATGAACTAATAATGATACATCGAGCGTGACGAATAATAATCATCATTCGTTCACTTCCTCAAATTTTTTCGTATACTCGTAAATTGACAAATCTCTTCGTGAGATATTTCAAAGATAAACTTTCAAAATGTACGATTACGAAGTAAAATTGTTTTTCAAAAGAACAAAAATTAATTAAATTGAATTATTAAATTATTAAATTATTTTTCATATTTTTTATGATTGTGACTCGACGATCATCTCGTTCGATTCACAAAATTTTTCTTTGTGCAGCCATTAAATTTTTTCTTTTACAATGTTTAATTGCAAAATTAAAAAAAGACTTTCTTAATCGTATTAATTAATTTATTGTATTTTCGTGACTCGACAATCATCGACTCACCTTTTCGTATATCTTATTCATTAATTCATTTCGCAGATCGACTAATTAAGTCGTAGATAAATTTTTATTAAAATTATTGAAAAACGCACGTTATAATCGTGTACACACACACACACACACACACTTCATATACATACACGTATACGTACACGCACACTCTGTGAATCATCGATGAATTAATCTTTAATGAAATCATCTTCTTTGTTTGTTCTTTTCATCTTCATTGATGTTTTGAATAATTAAAAAAGAAAAGAAACAAAAAATAAAAAGAAAAAAAGAAGATTTCTAATGACAATAAGGAAATAAAAAATATATATATATATATGTATATATATATAAAGAAACGTCAAGATTTCATTCAATAATGAATACTTTAATGATCAATCATTTAATCCAACTAATGATCCAAATAATTTAATTTAATTTTGTTGTATATGAAGTAACGTCGATAAAAAAAAAAAAACATCTTATATCGTTAATCGTTAATTGAATTAAATATTGCCCAAACCTTATGACTAGAGTATGATGTGCGCATTTCGGAACAAACTTCGGCCAGTGTTTTAACTCCAAAAGGAAAAAATCGAACGTCTTTCTCTCTCTCTCTCTCTCTCTCTCTCACTCTATCTTTTTCTCCCTTTTTTTCTCGTTGTATGACGATCACGACTAATTACAAATACATATACACTTTCTTCGTACCTGGGGAAATAATATTCACGCGAATACATATACACACAAGTTTTCTTTATAAATTTCACACGCGTATTAAAAGTATAATCGATCAAAAATAGGAACGTACATGGTGTTGATAAATGTCAAACAATGATTAATCATTTATAAATCCGCTATGAATTATTTTTTTTTTTTCTTATTTTCTTCTTTTTTTTTTTTCTTTTTTTCTTTTACATAACTATTATAACAAGTGTGTCGTGATTGATATAAATAAAAAAAAAAAAATAAATAAATAAATAAAAGAGAAGAGAAAAGAAGAAAAAGAATACAAACACGAAAAATGGAAAGAATCGAGTGGATGGTTAGTTCATCTTTGGACCATTACGCGCGTTTTTATCTCATTTTTCTTTTTTTCTTTTCTTTTTTTCTCCCTTTTTTTTCATTCACGATTCTCTCACAGTGATGTACACTCACACACATATATTTATATATATATATATATATGTATATATATATATATATATATATATTCAACAACATGGTGTATCTCAAAAGGAAGGATTTATTAACACTCAACAAGTTCTAAACATAATAGGATTAATCTCATGTGAGTAATAAACACGCGCTTGTAATATCCATGTGCGAATGAAAGAGAGCATTTACTTAGTTCTCTTCTGCACATAATGTATATATATATATATATATAAATTAATTATTCTCGTTTGCAGATATACACTGATCACGTATGTCGGATTGACATATCTCATTCCAGAGATCACGATTTGAAAGACACATAATAAAAGCTCGATAACGAACGAATCGGGTTCGTACCGACAGAGAGTCAACACGTTAAATCAATCGATCTTATTACAATTCTGAGGAGGGGGAGGAATGGAAAAACGATATTCGTGTTGATGAGAATATTGGAAAATGCTAAGAATAAGTAAGTACAATGGCATAAAAACTTGTTCCATTTAAGTATTAACGTTGTCTTTTGTGATAGTGAACATTCATTCTCTTTGCGATATTCCGTTTCTTTCTTTTCTTTTTTTTTTTTTTTCTTTTTATCTTTTTTCTCTCGATGAATTTCTTTTTTCTTTCCCTTTCCTCTTCCTTTTCTTCTTTGTTTGTTTGTTTGTTTGTTTGTTTTCTTTTTCTTTTTTATTTTAAGGCAGAACAAGATCCGGATACATCGTTATGTTCCAACAGAGCTGATGATCCCTAACGTCTCCCCATCCGCCATTACCTTTTCTCAATTTAGTTTTCTTGGCCATACCAGCAACCGTTAAGGTCAATTGCGACGGGAAGAGATGGTCTCTAGCGGCTCTCAAAACATTTTGAACTTTCGCTATTACAGCAGTAGACTCGCAATTATTCTTCTTGTGGTGTACACCGCTATAAATTGAATTTTCAATATTATTCATCATGACGGTAGAAAATAATAACGGGATTTTAAATCTAATTTGTGCATGTAGGGGCTATAGGACATTTCGGATCAATTTTGGAATTCGATTGCAAACAATTTATGCATTCCATGATTCGTAAATGTTTTTCTTTTTTTTTTTTTTTTTTTATATAATAGACAAAATTGCGTTTCAAACTTACCGATTATTAGTATTATTATTATTATTATTATTTCTGAGACTTCAAAGAATATATAGTATTTTTTTTTCGTAGTCCAAATTATTTCTTCTAAATTATTTTATTATAAATGACAAGTGTGTTCGAAGTGTCCTGCAGCGCACCAAAAGTGCACAACTTGAAATTATTTCGCGGTGCGCACAACTTGAAATTAATGTGTTTACGACTAGGGTTAAACGAGTAGGAAGGGAATTAAAATGGATCATTGAAAATGGAGAGGAATAAATTATTTTTTTTTCTTCGTAGATCATACGTCGTACCATTCGCCGATGTGAAATACTCTTGGTGCTCTCATCATCATGGTAATAAGGCCGGAATCAATGCGAGGTGCTGCACCGGCTCCTCTGCTAGGCGGCAAACATGTCTGTGCTATGTGCTGTAGACTCCAATCCCAATTGTAATCGTCGTATGAGCAAAATTGTACGGCACACTTCCTCAGTTTGTTCCAGGTTATACGATTGAACGCCATACCCATATTGTGTTTACTCGATATCCAGGGTATTACCTCGGCCTAAGTTTGTCAAATGAGAATGATCGATGTTAGATATCTATGATTATACTAGATTGAGATTTTTATCCTTTTCTTTTCTTTTCTTTTTTTTTTTTTTTTTAATTTCTTTTACGCAAAGAACGTTAAATCCGTAAGAACGAAATCTGATAGATCTGTTTATCATTCGATTTGATCTATTTTTTTTTTCTTTTTTTTGAAGGACTCAATTCGTCCTTAAAAAAAGAACAAACAGATCTATTACATCGTCGTGTGATTTAGATCGCTAGCCCGTTACATTGATCGTGATAATTTTCTAGCTTGTTTTTTTCTCTCTTTCTTTTTTTTTTATTTCTCTTTTTTTTTCTTCTCCCTTTTTGAAAGAAAAAGAAAAAGAAAAAGAAAAAGAAAAAGAAAAAGAAAAAGAATACGGATACATGCACGCACACACACACACACACACACACGATCTATTTCTTACGGCATTGATGATGAAGGCTCGATACAACGAGTGCTTTTTTACTTTGCTAATAAAACAAACGTTCGAAAAGAAAAATATAGTGCTCCAAAACGATTATGATTGCGATGACAATGATGACGACGATGGCGATGATGATGATGATGATGATGATGATGATGATGATAAAGAAAAAGAATAAAGAGAGGACATGAGGAATGCTTGTGCACGATATAGCAAAGGACAAAACAATAAACAGAGAGCTTCGATTCTACAAGTAAAGTTTCTAATGATCAATTAGATCAACGACGGATACATTCGTTATGTTTTAATAATGGCGAAGGATGGGGGCAGGATTGATGGTGTAATATACTACTAAAATATCTACATAAGCCAAAACAAAAAAAAAAAGAAATAGATAACGCGAACGAGACAATCGTGAATCATTTAATTCGATGGAACATAATTTTTTGAAATTCCCAAAATATTCTTCTTTTGATTATCTCGTTCGACGGATTGTCAAACATAATGTAAAAGATGATAGATAATGTAATATGTTATCACTTTACCTATCGATATCGAGATTGATTGATCGATTGATAGATTGATAACAATTATCTGAACGAAAACGATAATACATACAATGTTTATTATATACTATAGAATAAATGCAGATATGTATATAAAAGCGTGCAAAAGATTGATCGATAGTAAAGAAGAAGAAGAAGAAGAAGAAGAAGAAGAAGAAGAAGAAGAAGAAGAAGAAGAAGAAGAAGAAGTAGAAGAAGAAGAAGAAGAAAAGAAGTAGAAGAAGAAGTAGAAATAGAAGAGAAAAAGAATAAGAAGTGCCAGGTGACACCTAAGGAAGCATAATCAAAAGGTGAAAACTTTAATTTTCAAGGTTCTTGATTTATATGATGATAGCGGAAAATAGGACGGAGGAGGATAGTATAATGTCTCTATAATAGATTTTTCGTCTGTCTAATAATCCTCATTCTTTTTTTTTTTTTTTTTGCATCTAGAGAGGTCTGAAAACCTTCTGATAATGAGTGTAGAGACTTGGTAGGAGCTGGAATGCCCAAGAAGGTGCCGTCTGTGAGCTTTGATAGGTCGATAATCCAGCAACATTTTCGGTTCCAACGACGTTGACACCAGCAACGTTGTTACTGTTGCTGCTGATACTGCTGCTGCTACTACTGCTACTACTGCTGCTGCTACTGCTGCTACTGCTGCTGCTGCTGCTGCTGCTGCTGCTGCTGCTGCTACTGCTGCTGCTGATCAGAGCATACTGGGGGCCTGGTGACTCGTGCTTCTTTAATCCACGTAGAAGTTCCTTTTGTAAAGCGCCGTTTACGCCAAGGAACTAACGGATCGGGCGTGCGTGAAACATCGACACAGATACCTTTCACAATGAAGTGAAAAAGAAAGAAAGAGAGAGATAGAGAGAGAGAGAGAGAGAAAGAGAGAGACAAAGAGAGATAGAAAGAGAGACAGAGAGAGAGAGAGACAGACAGAAAGAGAGACAGAGAGAGAGAGAGATTAAGGAGTGACAAGGATATGTAAAGAGTGTGGAATACGAAGACGAAATTTTTTAGAACGGGATGAATATATTTTTGTGCTTGTGACGGTGTAAACACATTCCTGAGCAAGATTGCAAATTTTTGTTAATTATCATCAGCAGGCTCGCTCGTTATATATTGCGTGATCGAAAATAATCGTACGATACTTGTTACTTCGATGGTTTTTATCCTTTGAAAATTTTTTCTTCTTTTTTTTGTAGATATATATGCATGCATGTATGTATGTATGTATGTATGTATGTATATGGTAACAAATATCGTAACTTGCATATATATATATATATATATATGTGTGTGTGTTTCAGTAAATGTACAATGTCGTAAGAACATAAACAACATAAAAGACACGGGACAAGTTCAGCGATGAACGTGAAATATGTATGTATGTGTTATGACGAAAAAGAAATATTGTAAAAGTAATAACGTAAGAGAGAGATTAGATCCGAGGCTTGTTTATGTTTTTTTTTCTTTCCTCATTTTTTTTTTTTCTTTTTTTTGTATTTCGTTTTCTTTCTATCTATTCCTCTGGCCTCGATCATTGAAAAGCTTATTTCGACGGATTTAATAATATGCTCATGTTATTTTTGAAAATTGTCATCGATAAAATATAATTTTCTGATTGGAATATTTCTCTTTATTGAATACTACGTGTATTAAAAAGAGTGTAAATGTATATGTATTAAAGTTCGAAAGTGATTCGACGTGTTCAAAATGTTCAATCGAAATTTAGCGTTGGACTCGATTAATTATTTTTTGCTCTCTTTTTTTTTTTCCGTCTTTATATTTCATTTTTGTTTTCGTTATTATTCCATTTAAAACGTAATACGTAAAACAATATCCGTAGGTCATAAAATGTTTTTACATTTACTCACTTTACGACTGAAGTCAGCGAAATAGTTGTAGGTCTTGAGATATGTACCCAATGATAGGACGTTGCAACGTTCGCAGCTGTGCTTGCAGGTACGTTCCATGAGTCTCAATACGTGAAGAAAGTCCTCGGCTACGTAATGATCCTCTTCGAGGAATAGTACCATACCAGTGTGATTCTTTGTTATTGTTAATTGATCGAAGACCCTATTGGCCTTCCACCACCAATGATGTTTAGTTTGTGTAAACTTTGCTTCGCGATAATGACCATAGAGATCTGGATGCTTAGCGTTGATACATTTCAAATACAAGGCTCTGTAATTAATTAACGAGAAGAAGAATTGAACGGGGGTCGGGGAAAGAGAGAAAGAAAAAGAATAAAAAAAAAAAAAAAAAAAAGAAAAACAATGAGAAAGAAAGGAAGAAAGAAAAAAAGATAAATAAAAATAAATGAACAAATGGAAGAAAAGAAAATGCGTTTTATCCGGGGGAAAGACAAAAGAGAGAGAAAAAAAGAAAAGATACTAATAATAATAATAATAATAGTAATAATAATAAAGGAAATTAAAATGATCTTACTGTTCCTTGTGAATGTTTCTCGGACAATCGTTCGGATCCTCCCCTGGAAATGTTCTTGGATGGGTTTGTATGCTATGGGGATAAAATATTTGCATGACACGACAAAAGTCGACGCTTTGGACCAAATAATTGATGTCCGGGTTCCATACGTCATGGCTAAAAACAAGAAGTGCCTGTTCGATGCCCCTTGCTTGTGCCAGAGAGACGATCAGGTGTCTCAAGTAGGTCAGCCTAACGTGAACCTGTACGACGATGATAGGCGCATCACCGGCAAGTGGACCAAACGCTTCCTCGTTGTAAACCTTTTGCTCGGAATTTATACGATCGATGTTACGACGTATATCCTCGATTTCGAGATCCGTTAGAGTGCCAGAAGTTGCATTGCCCGATGTCGAAGACGCATTATGCCGCTCTTTCAGGAACCTTTAATAATAATGATGATGATGATGATGATAAAGAAAAAAAAAAAAAAAGAAATAGAAGGGAAAAAAAATTAATAAAAAAGAAAAGAAAGAAAAGAAACGAAACGAAAGAAAATATTTTATTATTATCCCGAGAGGTAGATATGGTCAATCGATTCGTATTTCTCTTTTTAATTCTTTTATTATTATTATTGTTGTTATTGTTGTTGTCGTTGTTTTTTGTCTTTGTCTTTTTCCTCTTTTCTTTTAATTTCCAACAATTAATCTCACGATTGATATATGATAGGTGGATGGATTTATTCAGGTAGGAAGATCGTATTGTACAAAACGAACCTGTGGAGTTCCTGAGGGACCAGCGCAAAGAGCGTCTCGTTAGCCGAAGACTGTCCAGACGTGTCCCTGCCGGTTAAATTGATCACATGAATCTGCAGCCAGAGAAACGTCGCCAGAAATACGAGGACGAGTGTCCTCTGTAGAGTACCGCGACCTGACCTCGCCGCACCAACGGTTGTGACCCCTGTATGTCGCAATGTCAAATCTTTTGATTATCTTTTACTTTAAAATTGGATTATCATTTATCTCTGTCTGTCTCTCTCTGTCTCTCTCTCTCTCTCTCTCTTTCTCGTTTTTTTTCTTTTTTTATTATTAACAAATATTTTATATATCAACAGATACATATATATATATATATATATATATGTATGTATGTACGTCACTTTTCCTTTTTTCTTTTTTTCTTCTTTTTTTTTTTTTTTGTATATCGTTATGTAAAACTGCATATTTCTCGTGCGTGGATTGTTATGTAAAAGAAAAAGTGAAATTATATTTGCAATAGAGAAGGAAAGAAAGAAGAAAGAAATAAAATAAAAAAAATAAACAAAAAAAAAGCAAAAAAAAAATTGGAGAGACGCAGAAATAATAATGAAACGACGAAACAAAAATATGATACTGCGTGTAAGTGCATAGGCAACTTAAACGGGACGCGTCTATTTGCTACTCGACCTAGAATCTTTTTACAACGTTAATAACGAGGAAAACGCAATAAAATTTCTTGTCAAACTTGGTGATTTTATTTGTACTTGACGACGATAGTTAAAGAGGTAGAGAAATAGAGATAGACACAAACGTATATATATAGAAAGAGAGAGAGAGAGAGAGAGAAGGTAACGTATGAATGGTTTTTTTTCTTTTTTAAGTTATTATCAAACGGCCATGAGAATAGACGGGTTAACGAGATACTTATCTAAAAAAAATAAAAATGACCGAAACGTCGAGTAATCCAAAATATTCTAAATATTCTATATTCAAGTATGAATGTACGAGTCATGTTGCATAAAGAATAACAAATAAACGACAAAACAATGATGAAACAACTATATATAGGTGTAATTTATAGATGTGTATATATATATATATATATATATATATATATATATATATATATATATGTATATATATATATATATATATATATATATATATATATATATATATATGTATATACAGATATATATTTTGAAACGTGCACTTTTTGAAACGTGAACAAAAAACACACATATATACATTTATATTTATAATTGAACAATACAAATTTTCGAATAAGATCTTTCGTCGTGATATCGCTTTATTTAAAAAATTTAATTATTATATTAAAATATTGACGTCCTCATAATAAATTAGATATTGTATGTCGAGTTAAATTATCTTTGCAACAATGTTCTCGTAATTAAACTACCGTAGATGAATATAATAATAATAATAATAATAATGATAATAATCTACGTACTTCCGATCTTTGATAAAATACAATGAGTTTAAATAATTAACAGACACACACACACACACACACACACACACATATATATATATATATATAAATATGAATGTTCGTTTGATATATTATTGTTCTATAAAACAACTTAAATAAACAAAGGGTTTATTTAAAACGTATCTGTATCTATCCATTTATTTTTTTAACGTTATAACATTAAATATATCTTTGAATGTATCTGGACAAATAATAATTTCTCTAGATTAAAATAGTTAAACTTTATTATTATTTCTAACTTGACACATACACATATATACATACATAATAAATTACACATGCAAAACAAATAAATTTAACATGGCTCAATAAAAGCTTTATCGTTCGGTCGTTGATCAACGGCAATTTTTTTTTATTTATTTTTTTTTTTTTTTTAATAATTTATCATGATAAAATTACATCTCGAAAGATTTGAAAATATAATAAGAGTACGATATATGTCAAGGAGGCAACGTTTTGGTCTAATTTTTTCTTTTTTTTTTTTTTTTTTTTTAACCAATATAATCAGATCAGATCATGATCGGATTAGATTAGATTAGATTAAATTATATTTGATTAAATTAAATTTAATTTGATTTGATTCGATTTTAATCAACTTATTCACGTACCGTCATACATTCGCGAAACCCCTCGTTAGTTTCTAGTGAATTTATCGGGTGAAGGAAGTGCACTCGATTAACGAGTAGTTTCCACGGAAAGAACAACGGCATGGCCCGAAGTATCGGCATATGTATACATATGTATGTATGTTGAATATACATACACAGCATATAATATATATACATACATATATATATATATATATATATATATATATATATAGTTATAGGGACGAAAGATCGATAAGTCTTTCGCGGCATTCCTTATGCGGTAAAACGAATGAACACGGTCATTGTATGTATTGGTTAGGCTTTTTAAAATGATATGCATACATATATCACAAATATATATATATATGAAAGTGCATTTTATCGGACAGAAAAATGTTTTCCCTTGGTACATAAGAACATAAATATTTTTTGGTGCTATACGACATCGAACAGAAAAATATTTATATTATTCCTTTTACCTCCCGACCTTTTTCCGCGTATCGTGTTACCGTATTTCTGCTTAGAATAATCGTATGGTTTTCCTAAAAAAGAAAAAAAGAAAAAGGAAGAAAAAATAGGACGAATTAAAATAGGTCGAATTATGTTCGTCAAGAAAATTTCGTCGTTTGTTTTGTCGAAGGCAAAAAAAAAAGGAATAAAGAAATAAAGATAAAAAGAGAAGAAAACGACAAGGCGCAAGGGGAAAAAAAAAGAAACAAAGAAAAATCATTTAAATAGATTGAACTTATTTCGTCGGTCATATATCTATTTAAATATCGTCGAAAATTTTTCGTTGGTTCATTCGAACAGAGAACAGCTTGCTTTTATATAAACAGTTATTCTAGTCGTCTGAACGGTATACTTATTCACGTATCGTTGACGGATAAGCGAAGAAACGATATCATGAGAGATTCTACGAACACAGCCCACTTTTATTGTTAGATATCAGTTTATGAATATGCTTTATGTTATACAGGTCGATTACAAAAAAATTAAGGGACCAGTTTGAATATTTCTCTTTTTTTTTTTTTAGAACGATAGAAAAGAAAAAAAAGAGAGAGAGAACAAAAAAAAATATATTATCTATAATATAAAAAAAGTTTCGCGATTTTACGCTTGAAGTATATTACGGAGTATGAATTTTTTATGTACGTATATTATTACGACCTCTTAAAATTTTTCAAAGTATTTTAAAAAAAATTTTCGAAAGTATTCAGGTCAATGCTTGTTTAATAATTTCTTTTTCCATGAATAAAGGATTAAAATATTTGATCAATTGAAAAAAAAAAAAAAAAAAGAAGAAAAGAAAAAAAAAATATACTTAGATTAGAATTATTATAAAATATAATATACAGTATGTTACATGAGAACAATTAAATATTACACTTTCGATTGAAAGCCAAAAGTCAATGATTTTGTTTCATAATATTTTTTTTATTCTTTTAATATTTTTTATTTTTCATACGTAATCATCGAAACTTTTTTTAATCTCTTTCTTTTTATTTCTTACTTTATTTTATTTATTTTTCTTTTTTTTTTATTCCTCCCAACAAACTGAAATATATTCAACTTGTAATTTATAATCAATCTATATATACTTACACGATTAAGTTATCGTATGAGCACTGAGAATCATTAAATATCGAAGTAACTGTTCAAGATAATTGGATCCTAGTTATCAATTATCACAATACGAAAAATATGAGTACATGAAAGAAAAACGTTCGATAATTAATCGCAATTCCAAGAAAGAGCTTGTACTCAAATGTTCAACCTATTTTTTTTTTTTCTTTCTTTCTTTTTTCTTTTTTTTTTTGTTTTTCTTTTTATCATAATCGTGATAACGAGCAACAGATACGATGACTAATTTAAGTTTGCCACAACAAGTTACTCATACACATAATTATATCTGTATTTGTATATTTTTATATAGATTATATATTGTGTAGGTATTTTCAGGACACGTCGATAAAAAGAAAAAAGTAACGTCGAATATTTATTTCCTCCTCCTCCTCCTCCTCCTCCTCCTCCTCCTCCTCCTCCTCCTCCTCCTCCTCTATGTGCTTTTCGTTTTAAATCTTTCGAAGAACAATTTCCTGTCTCTCGATGTGAAAATTGAATTGAAATCAATTGTAACAAATAAAATTAATATTTTAATAAATCCATTTATCTCTGAATTTCGTTTCATCTATTATCCATGTTTATTATTATTATTATTATTATTATATATTTATTATTAATTATGACAATAATATTTCGTTATTGTGAAAATGGAAAAAAAAAATAGGAAAGAAGAAGAGGAGGAAGAAAAAAAAAACGAAAAAACAAGAACAACAACAAAAATACATGAGATAATTTCTAATTACTTTTAAAATTCCTTATCATAAATATAACCGCACTTAAAGTTCCTTCCCAGGTTTTATCTTTTTTTTTTTTTTTTACTTTATTTTTCTTCTACTCTTTTTTCTCTTCTTTTTTTTTCCTTTTTTTTTTCTTCTACTTTCCTTTTCTCTGTTCGTTTCCATGCAGCGAATGCATTACGAGGATGCATTGCGTGCAACGATTCGCGATGCGTGCCATAGCTCGTTACGCGTACGTGGATATCTTGATTCTAAGTGATTTTATTACCTTGGGAAAAGGGAATCTTGCCGATGTGAAATTTAATTAAAATGAGTCACAACGATTACGAAGGAAGAAGCTTTTTTTCGCATATCCGAGACGTTCTCGTAGTCGTCGTCGTCATCGTCTTCGTCGTTGTCGTCGTCGACGGCTTGTTCATTTAAAATTTTTTTTTTGTATTCTTCAAGGAAAGTTTTCCTTCTTTTATTCAAGCGATGACGAAACCGTGACCCATAGTCGGGTCACTATAGTACGTCTCGCTATGAGAAATTTCAATGAAATTTTCCACAAGTTTTTTTTTTTTTTTTTTTTAACTAAAGTTTCGTCTTATTAAAATAAAGAAAAAAAGAATATATGTTGAAATCTTTTGAGAACGTTATAAAGAGAGAAAAAAAAAAAAGGGAGAAAAGATTATCTATTAGATTAATAATAGATTATTTGTCATTCGTTTCTTGATTCTTTGTCTAATTGAATAACAAAATGTCTGTTAGAAAAATTTTTTTTTTCTTTTTAAATCACTCGATTCGAATTATCGAGCCGTGGACGAGGTAAATGCAATGTTTTTTTTTCCTCTCTTTTTTTTCTTTTCTTTTTTCTTTGTTTCCTCGTTTTATCATTAAAAAACTAAAGAAAAGAAGAAAAAAAAAATACGAAAAAGAACAAAAAGATTATGCCATTCTATGCCTGTCCTATGCGCTCGTTCCATCATAATATTATCGATGAAAATCAGGAAAGGAGACATTATTCTATTATGTGTTTGTCATCATCGATGCGCATACACATACATATATATATATATATATATATATATATATATATATATACATAATGCGATCTAAATCCGTTTTAGTTCTAACGACGAAGACTTACGCCGGCGACGTAGCTGTCTGCGTTTAAAGCTTCTTTTCGTGTCGTGTCGCGTCGCTTAGAAAATAAATAAGACTCACCTCTCATCGTGTCATCCTTAGGTAACTGTTCTGAAACACAAAGAGAGAGACACGTTAAAATTCTAAATTAAGAGAGATTTTTTTTTATTTTTTCTTTAACCCCCACCCCTCCCCAATTGCCTTCCTACCCCATTGACGCGTAACGCGAAGAAATCAAATTTCATGGCGATATCGATCGACTTGCTTTTTCTTTTCTTTTTTTTTTTTTTTCTTACGAGACATCTTATACATCCGCGATATTAAAAAAAAAAAGAAAAAGAAAAAAAGAGAAGAAAACTCTGTTCTTATCTTCGAGATAATTATCGTTTTATTGTTTCGAACGTTAATTGTTTTCTGCTCTTCTTATCTTCTTTTTTTAATCTTCTTTTCTTTTGTTCCTTTCTTTTTATTTCCTTTACTATTTGATTATTTTGAATCGAACGACCTTACGTGGAATTAGTAAAGATGAAATTAATCACAGCTTGACTACAGTCAATGTTATTATTATTTTACAGATTATTTTAATTCTCATTTACGATGAATCATCTTACGTCGACAGATAGAACGACAACAATTTTTCTTTTTATTAGAAATGCGATTAGAGGATTGCGTTGTTTGTTTGTTTTTTTTTTCTTCTACCCTCCCTTCATTCCATTCCCTCGCGCATGCATTTTTTGTTTACGATAAATTAAAAAAAAAAAAATCGCATATACTCGGAATTCGATTAGTAAGTAATAAATTAAAGAAATCTTTCTTTCGATATCGTTACACCCGACATTTTTGTTCTTTTTTTTTCTTTTTCTTTTTCTTCTTCTTCTTCTGCTTCTTTCCTCTCTCTTTACAGTCACACGTAAAGCGAAAAAAGGAGTGGGCGGTTTTAAACGTTTGCGCGTTAAATTCCATCGGGCGATATCTTTAATTCATGTAACCAATCCCCCTCCCCCGTCTGCTCCCGTTGCCGTCCCCGCCCTCTATTCTTGGCAACATATCAAAACCTCGACACTGATCTGAGAGTAACCGAGTACATATGTACCAACGAAACTGTCCTACGGAACGAGATCTCGTTTTATCTTGAATTCTAAGAGGTACATACAAAAACGTTAATATCGTGTAAAATTTTTATCGTTTCATTTAATTAGATAACGCACTAAATTACGATCAAAGCAAATTGTATATTTTTAATCGAGTCACGATTGACGATTAAAGATTAAAATATTTTTTTTTTTTAATTAACAAAATAAGAAAAAAATCAAAACAAAACATTAAAAATACGTCCGATCGAATGTTCTTACCTTGAGGAAGGAGAGATGCCAGCTGGATGGTCCTCCATTTTGGAAAAATCTATAAAAGAAAAATGAAAAAGAATATATGCATGTGTATTCAAAAGAAATGGACAATAAATTGGGAAAAGCTTTTTATCTTTCCTTTTCTTTTTTTTTTTTTTCTGTAAAACGAGCTCGAAAAAAATTTCTTTCTCTCTCTCTCTCTTTCTCTTTCTCTCTGTCTCTCTTTCTTTCCCTTTGATTCTGATTAGCAGCGGATCTCGTTAACGAGGCCGCCGTTCGTTTGCCGTTTGTACCAGCCACGAGGAAGAAAATATCTTCTTCTCGGCGTTAATTGGCATGAGAAGATTATCGTACCGAAGTACCGGGTCAGCTGCAGTAGCAGCAGCAGCAGCAGCAACAGCAGTTCCGATTCGAGTCCGGAATTAACGCCGGCCGAAGAATAATTAGCGCACAGCTTGCTGATTCGCATAATTAATTAAAGGACCTTTAGTATTAAGTGGGAGTAGATAGGAACAAGGGGGAGTGGGGAGGGTGGTTGTGGTGGTGATGGTGGTGGTGGGTGATCGGAGTTGTAGCGTTAGATAAGTAAGTTTTCTCAAGGTTAAACACAAGATAAAATTAACTCTAACCAATCTGAAACGTGAGAAACTAAACGGGAAAGAGATGAAACAAGAAAAGAAAAGAAAAGAAAAGAGAAAAAAAAAAATTAATAAATAAATAATTGATCTCATAATCACGTCTGAGATAATTTCCACCGACTTCATTATTATTGTTATTATTATCATTATTATTATTACTTTATTTGTTTATTTTTCTTAAAAGAAAAAACTTTATCTCAACATTCTTCTATATCGAACAGATCTGTTCGTTCTTTTCTTTCTCTTCTTTTCTCTTATCTTTCTTCCTTTCTTCTTCTTTCTCTTCCTTTCTTTTTTTTTCTTCTTTCATTAATAAAACTCGAAATTCATGAAAATTTTATATTCGCTTAGATCAATGAATATGATTAAACGTTCAATCTACTTCTATCTCTCTCTCTCTCTCTTTTTTTTTCTCTCTCTTTTGCTCTATACGGCCAAACCTTATCACCCCCTGTCCCCCCTGTCATCCTCCCACCCTCACACACACACACCACTACTCCCTATATACACAGCAATTGACTTTAACGATCGAATTATAATGTAGCGCGAGTAGAGTCAGACGCAACATCGTCCTTGTCCCATATTTGGACATCTCGCTTAATAGTACGATTATTAAGTATATCTACCTACCTACCTACCTACCTACCTACTTACTTACTTACTTACTTACTACCTACTAAGAGATTTAATGACAATCTTTGTGATTTCTTAAATGACTTAAGTGGCTGAATGATTATGCGGGGAGAAGAGGAGAGAGAGATGGGAGGGAAAAAGAGACGTTGTTAATGTCCTCACCAAATATACGAAACCGTCTGCATACGAATAAAATCTTCATTTTGCAATTGGATTATATGATGGTGAGGAGAGAGGTCAAGAGGTGATAAACGTCGGAAAGAATTTCGAGTCGCGCGTTACGTTCTTAAATATGTTTGATATTATCTAATAAAAGAAGTAAAATCGTTGTTAAGTATAATTAGGTTTGATTAAATTTTGTTTCCTGTATGATAAAGGATTCATCGTTTTATTTCGATTTTATTGGAATGCTCAATTGCGTTATTGAAGGTCGTAAATATACACGATAGGTGGACACAAGTGCATATCCATATATATATATATATGTGTTTGTGTGTGTTTGTATCTTTGTATATATATATATATATATATGTATGTATGTATGTGCATCGTGAATAAGACTTTTCCATGTCCACGTAACGTTAATCTAACGCGCTTACGTATCATCCACACCTATAATACACATAGAACAACCATAATCAACTCGTCTATAATACCAAAGCCATTATTTATTCCTTTATCTATTCAAGAAACTCATCATGCGAATGCACTTGCTTTAGTTAGGCACTATGTCGACTTATCAACAATCTACACTTTGATCTTTAACAACGTACGTAACGTAAGTAACGTAAGTACATTACATACTTACGTAGTCGTTCGACTATGCGATATTTCACCCCGTTATTTTTTAATGAGAATTTTTATCTTTTCCATTTTAAAATTCAAATAATTAATCTAATTCAATCTTAGTCCAATTTGGGAATGTCCAATCTAAAATTAGTGTCATCAAATGCGATTTTCACGGTGGTTTGCAAGCACCAGTTAAAATGTTCAACCGCGAACGATTATAATTATCCTCTTTAACGATATTAAAAATTATTTGTGAATTATAAAGCATTCGAACATTAAAATGGAGACTTTGTCGAGTATGGGAGTAGAAGAAAAAAAACCAAAAAAAAAAAAGAAGAAAAAAGAAAAAGACAAAAAAAAAAGTAACGTCGAATATTCATTTTTCCCTGATGCTTCTCGTTTCAATTTCCCGTTCCTCGATGTGAATCGAATTGAAATCAAACTGAATTAAATAAAACTAATAATTAATATTAATAAATCCATTTAATTCCGAATTTCTTTCCAACCATTATTTATGTTTATTATTATTATATATTTATTATAATAACAATGATATTATTATCATTGGATGCGCAATTTTTATTATCATATATTTCTTATTATAAAAATAAATATAAATATATAATAATACAAAAGTTTTATATATATATATATATATACGTGTACATATATAGATATGTAATCCACTGATCCACCCCTAATTTCCTCCCCTATTTTCCATCTCTCTCCAATATCGAATATCTATGTTGTCGTTTAAAGTCGTGAGAGGAAGAAGGAAAAGAAAAAAGAAAGAAAAGAGACAAAACACGGAGCAGGATGGGGCGTAGGGAGGAGAGGGGGATAGGGGAGCTGAAAGAAAAAGGATGGAAAAAAAAAATAAAAAAAGAAATAAAAAAAAAGAAATAATTTTCAGACCGCGCAGAAAAGATTCGATACTTTGAGAATCGACATTTTTATCGCGTCGTAGAAACGGGCACTCCTTTGGAAGATAGCTGACTCTACGAAAAGACATTTCTCGCCAATGTCTATTACGGTCCTTCTTACCGGTTCCTTTTTCAAGAACTCTACAGAGAGAGAGAGAGAAAGAGAGAGAGAGAGCGAGAGAAAGAAAAAGAGAAAAAGAGGGAGAGAGAGAGAAAGAAAGAAAAAAAGAAATACTCGATCGAGCGGCTGACACGTTCTCTCGCATGTATTTACGGAGAGGAAGATGTTCCTCGCTTAGGTCTATTGTATATAACGGATAAGCGGCCATACTGGATGTTCCGTGACTTAAAGATAACGGTACGAGACAATGTACATTTTGTACCATACTTACTTACGTATGAGCGAGTGCATTACGTTTTACATATCTGTATATATATATATATATATTTTTCTTTTTTTCTTTTCATCTTTCTTTAGTCAAATAATAAAGAACGTAATTGATCATTATTAAATTTCTATTTGTACGTTTGAGATGTACAAAAAGATATTATTGACAAAAAGAATGGCCATGTAAATTTGTAATTTGGTGCGTATAGGTATAATGTTATCTATCGCTCGTACGCACGTAGATACGTCATCGTTGAAAATCTAACAATATGATAGGATACGATCGATTTTCTAATCGTCGGATAAAATTTATTATCCATTTCGAAATAACACTACTAGGAATATCTCGATAGACAAGTTATTTGAAATCATGAAATATGCATTACAGGAGAAGAACTCTACGTGCGTAGACAAACACTTATACGCGTATATATACATATATACATATTTTATTCCGATGTATATATATCCGTATAAATATCAAAATGAGTAGGCAAATCGTTCTATTAAATTGTGTAGAAGGTCAAGATTCCATGTACATATATGTACGCATATATATAACCAACATAAAAGGACAGAACAAGGTTAATTAGCAAATCGACTGACTACTCTTTTAAGAGACTGATAAACCGTTCGTTCAACGTTAATTCGTTCGTTCATTCGATCGATCGATCGATCAAACGATCTATTGACGCCAGTTGATCTTATTATATCCTTATTTCCTATCTACCATACTTGCTCGATCGATCTTAATATTAAGAAAAATGAAAAAAGAAAAAGAAAAGAAAAATGATTTACTTATTATCAATGCAACGTCGATCGATCTCAGCATATCTAAATACTTCCTATATACATTTTTATATATATATATATATATATATACACATGTATATATAAGATAACATAGTTGATTAATACGATCCAAAGATATTTCATATATAGAAAAAAGAAGAAAAGAATACATATAATACAATATTAAAGTAATATTAAAAATTGATCGTACGAACGTTCGATCATTAATCGATCATATCTACATATATATAAAATATTGTCGAGTATACGTCATTACGACACAGAAGATATCATTTCTATGTTAGTATACGTGATAGTCAATACTAACTGACCTCGACGTTCGATAACTGTACTATTTTCTTGCTACTCTCTAGAGGATAGAAACATCTCGTCGTCGTCGTCGTCGTCATCGTCGTCGTCGTCTTCGTCATCTTCATCGTCTTAATACGCGATCAGTCGCTTTGGTTAACTTCCTATTATACTTAGATAAAATATTGTGTACGAGTATCGCGAAAGTGGAACGAAACGATTCGATATACAGTTCATAATAAGACTACCCGCTATTATCTAATCTCATATATATATATATATATATATATATATATATATATATATATATATATATATATAAGGTTTGCAACTATTCGATGATACTTTACGATCGATGAAATGTATCACTTCATAGAAAAAGAATGACAAAAAGGAAGAGAGAGAGAGAGAGAGAGAGAGAGAGAAAGAGAAATTGAAAAAAATAAAAAAAATAAAAAATAAGGAAGATGAAAGGACTTCGGTTCCTTCCTCTTAACGAGGAATGTTATTGCTCGGTACAGTTACTCGAACATCAGCTGCATTTATTGCGACACTGACTGACAGGTAGAACGATTTAAAGCGACCTTGCTTCGTCGTCTCATCCCTTTCTCTCTCTCTCTCTCTCTCTCTCTCTCTCTCTCTCTCTCTCTCTCTCTCTCTCTCTCTCTCGTTCTCATTCTCGTACTCGTTTCCATTTTATCTATCCCTCTCTTCTTTTTCTTTTCTTTCTTTTTTTTATTCTTTTTTACTCTTCAACCACATGCTCCTTCGATATTCTCCAAGCATTAAAAAGGTACTACTCTGTCTCTCTCTCTCTCTCTTTCTCTCTCTCTCTTTCTCTGTTGGTTGATTTAACATTTTATATACATCTTATATGATGATCTGGAATAAATAGAAATTAAAAATTTTATAATACGATTATTTCATTGGCTCTTGTCAACGTTCTTGTCCTACAACACCCATCCTCTACCTCTTCTATCATCTACCATCCACCCACCCACCCACCTATCCATCACTTCTCTCCATCCATCTATCTATCTATGGCCGCACCTCCCTTTTAAATATGACTTCATCTTGAAACGATATCCGATCTTTCAAATCTTTCACATATTGTTATTTACTTGTAACAACTCGATCGACTTTGATTGAGGAAAAAAAATTGATTATTAGTTATAAGAAAAATCATCTCTGTTAAATAATTATTATTCATCGCGATGGAAAATGAAAGGATTATGAAATAAACGATATTGAAAAGAAGATCAAGAGAGAGAGAGAGAGAGAGAGAGAGAGAGAGAGAGAGAGAGAGAGAGAGAGAGGGAGAGAGAGACAAAACCTGAGAGGATTTAAATTCTTGAAAAAGTGTATGACGTAATAATGCACTTTTATTCGAGCATGCTTGCTTGCGCGCTCATTTTACACAAGTTTAACCAGCGAAGCACGACGCAGCATCCAACCGCGCGAAACGCAATATTATCTTTCTTTCTTTCATTCTCTCTCTCTCTCTCTCTCTCTCTCTTTATGTCTCTCTCTTTGTTTGTCTCTTTTATTCGTGACATTTTTTTATCGTTTACCACGCCCGCACCTGATAAATCTCTATGAATCCGTATTTTATATTCACGTATTACAAAGATCGTAGAGATCATATCGTTCAATGTTTACCATAGAACAACATAATCTGTTTATTTCATTCGTTCGTTCGATCGTTTTATAAAACGCAAAAAAAAAAAAATATGTATATATACATATGAATTTATTTATCAACGATCATTTCAACCGGATGAATGAATGTATGAATGAATGTATGAATGAATGAACGAACGTATAATGTAAATAAAGTATTATGCAAGATGTTAAATTTTCGAATCGTAACTTTAATGGATTAGATTTTGTTGATCGATATATTACGTATGGGTGGACAAGTTAATCCATAAACAGTGATAATAAATGATGATATATTATTACAATTACGTTTTAGTGGAAACGTGTCATTTCCCTTTCTCTCTCTCTCTCTTTCTTTCTTTTCCTTTTTTTCTTTATCTAAGCATCACATAAACAAAGTAAAAGTACCTGGGGTTGTCCGATGAATAAGCGAGCGTTTCTAATTTGGCACGCGTCTCTTTGATCGCACGCACTGTCTTCTCTCTTTCTCTCTCTCTCTCTTTCTCTCTCTTTTTTTTTCTCTTCCTCTTTCTCTCTTCCTCTGATTATTTTTGTTTGACGACGTTCAAGAAATGTCGCGTTGCTCGATCATGATCGAGCAACGCGATGAACGAAAGTTATGTAATAAAGAAAAAAAAGTGAAAAAAAAGAAAGGAATAAGAAAACGAGAAAAAATGTAAACAAATAAAAATCAATTTGTAAAGAGAGCAAAGGAAATTAGTTATATTTATATTATCTATATCTCTCTTTATATATATATATATATATATATATATATATATATATATATCCTTTTCTCTATCTTTCTCTCTTTCTCTGTATATATATATATATATAGATATACACGTAAAATCGTATGATGTACGTTCGTCGCGATACCGAATACGTTACTAGAGATTAACTGTGATTCGTACGGGTTCTCCGAAACGACTGAGCGCTCGCGGTCTTTCAGCCGATGATGAGACTCCTCTCTTCGCGCCACCGAGTTCGTGAGTCACGTGACTTGAATCACATGACCCATCTGTTCTTAACCCGATTGGTTGATACAATTTGCCGCGTCCTTTATGGATCATCTTGAATGATTTTTACGCTCGAAATAAAATAGGTTACGAGTACTCTAACTTCTGTTAATTAATATTTCTCGTAATTACGTTACTTACGTATCTATCTGAATCTATACGTATATACAATTATATATACATGTGTATATATGTATATATATAATTTGTTCTTTTCTCTCTTTACAATCTATCTCGTTTCTCTTTTTTTCTTTTTTCTTTTTTTTTTTTTTTTACATGAGGCAATTATTCTCTATCGAATGAGATAATTAATAAGACGAATAAAAAAAAAAGAAAAATTATATTTATCTTCATTTTCTCTTGTTCGTCGTTATCTTAAGAGAATTATTAATGGTAGTGTAAATAGTCGATGGTTATTTAAAAAAAAAAAAAGAAAGAAGAAAAAAAGGAAGAAGAATAAAAGACTTATTGTTTCCTCTTGCCTAAGGATTTGTAATAAATAATGGCAGGCGAATAGAAATGTCGGGTTTTCCAATATATATATATATAAATATATATACATATATATATATACATATATAATTTCTTTTATTTTTCTTTCTTCTTGAAATCTTTCATCCTCAAAGAAACTCGCGTGTAGTTTATCGGTGCGCACAATGCGCAAGCGTGCCTAACGGTTAGATTTAATCGGTAGGGACGGAAGGGTGGGTGGAAGGGTGATAGGAAGAGAAGGAGGGATCATTTACCATGAGATATATACATATTTATAAACGGTTTCGTCCATGTGAATTATTATTACGCTAAACTTCCGCGATTTTTTTTTTTTTTTTTTTTTACCGACGTAAGTATAAAACAACACATTAAAGTTTCTCACGCAATACCGTTCAACGATTATCGCCACTATCCGAGAACAGTGATTTTCTTTCGTGGTATTAGACGTACATATCCTCCCCCGTATTCCTCCACCCATCCATCCATCCATCCATCCATCCACCCATCCATCCATCCATCCATGTATATTACTATTTTTGTTCTTCGAAGAAGAAACAACCGATGTCGGCTAATACGTACGTACATATGTAGATATATACATGCATACGTTACTCACTCACGTATCTCTCACCGTGAGTACTTAAGCGCATAAAATAAATCCGCATGTGCGGATGTATGTATATAAGATACACTCATACATACCAGTTATGTACTTACTTACTTACGTTATCGTAGTAAATGCAAGCTGCGTGTCATACCGCGCGCATCGTTCGCTTGCAAGCAAGCAAGCAAGCAAGCTAGCTAGCTAGCTAGCTAGCTTAGCTAGCGCGCACCAACATAAGTGTCGTTAGATGTTGAATAATGCATCTAGCGAACTCGCATGACTGTCGGGATTGATAATGAGAGGAACGAACGAACGTACGAACGTAACGAATGTACGCACGAATCCACATAAGTACGTACGAACGTACGAAAAAAATAAAAAAAAATAAAAAAAAGGAAAGAAAAAATGAAAAAAAAAAAAAGGGAAAAGATAGATAACAAAAGAAGAAGAAGAAGAAGAAGAAGAAGAAGAAGAAGAAGAAGAAAGGAAAAAAAAACAGGAAAAGAGAAGGCAGATAGAAAAATAAAAAGACGTACTCGGTGTCATCGACGCTTCGATTAAAATCTTAAGTATTCTTCTTCGCTAATACTGTTACGTATATATGTACGTAAGTATGTAATAGATATACAAATATATAAATGAGTAATATACGTGATTACGTATGTATGTACGTAATATTGGTTTATAAAATATAAATATGGATCATTTATTCGTATCTGGGAATGACGATCGATATGCTTAAAGATTATATAAAATGTATTACTGATACTAGAACGGGATTAATTATTATATCTTATCGATATTTAAAGAGTGATGTAAACGGATATAATACTTCGTTCGATCGATTAGAAAAATAATAGAAAAAGAAAGAAGAGAGAAAAAAAACCTTGATTATCTCTGCTTGAAGCTTTTTTGAAATAGAAAAAAAAGGAAAAGAAATATGTATATATATATATATACAGATTATTTTTTAATTTTATTCTTACGATATTTTTTCAGACTTAAAAAAAAAAAAAGAAAATAAAGAAAATCGGACGAACTGGAACTCGACGATTTTACTAGAATTATTAATGGTAGCTCTTAACGATGAGGAACGAATCGATTATGAATTCGATTATATTAGGCATTAAATAGATATATAATTTTAGAATATCAAACGCTCAGATTAGAATGGTTGGGGTGAATTTTCAATGTTACTTTAACGTTAACTCAAACTCCGTCCCTCTTGAGCATGATTCTCTTAACCGGCACATATACGCGCAACTCTCGTGCACATACATATACATATATATATATATATATATATATATATATATACATATACATTGGCAAGGATTAAAATAGCTTCTTATCAATATTTCAGAGTGGAATCTACTCGTTCGTTCTCGCAACGTCACTCTCGCAAACGGCCCACCGTAAAATATTCAAATGGTGCTTTCGAAAAAAATAGAACTATCGAAGGAGCACACGTTTCTTGTATATATATATATATATGTGTGTGTGTATATGTGTGTATATGTATGAGAAAAAGAGAGAGAGAGAGAGAGAGAAATGAAAGAAAAATTTAGAAGGATTAAAAAGTTGTTCTCCATATTTAAAGAGAAACGAAAAAAACCAAGTTTTTCAGTCCCATTGCTATTATTATCGTCATAATAATCATTATCATAATCATCATCATCATCATCGTCGTCGTAGTCGTCGTCTTTTGAATATTACTGCTGAAGAAGTCGACGTATTTTCAAACGCAAGTCGGGAAATGTAAAAATAGACTTACAACAAAATGTACACGCTTATATTTATACGCACAGTTCTCTCTCTCTCTCTCTCTCTCTCTTTTTCTCTCTCTACTATCTATCTTTATCTTTCTTTCTCTATCTCTCACTCTCTTTCTCTCTCTTTCCTCTTCGACGAGATCGTGCAGGCATGCAGATAAAGTCGTCTAGGCCGACAAGGATTAATGTCTACCATTGCCATTTCTTTTAGTCACGTTCGTTTTTCTTTCTCTCTCTTTCTCTCTCTCTCTCTCTCTCTTGCTCTCTTTTTTTTTTTAACTATCTTTACTTCTTCTATATTCCTTGATCCATTTATCTCGACTTTGATCGTGTATTAACATGTTGTTGAAACACGTAATCGTTGTCGCGCCATCGCAAATGTTTTCGAGAAAAGAAAAAAAAAAAAAAAAAAATAAAAATAAAAAAAAAAGAAGGAGAAGAAGAAATATAAAAAGAAGAAAGGTATATAAAATTTAATGACGCATAAATATCTATCCTCAATTAACCTTCCATAAAGTAAATTAATTAATAAAGAGAGAGAGAGAGGGAGAGTGAGAGTGAGAACAAAGGATATTAATTAAATTGCTCAAAGATGGAAGATTGAATCGATTAGTTCGTACTTAATCAATAATAATCATTTGCGATTTCTAATTTGTATAAACCTTCCGGGTAATATTTATTATCAAGGTAAGACGTAGATCGAGAGGATCGATTGAAAAAGGGGTTGCTTTAGAAAAGTGGCCTCTATCGAAATACTTAGTCCGGGAATTGCTCTCCTCGTCCTTGTATTTTAATGATTAGAGAAGGGGTCGAAAGGTGTGAAAGATCGGGAACACGGCACGGTTTTTACCGAAGGAACGAAAGAACAAATAAAATCCGTGTCGGTGGTGCCTCAAAAAATAAGGGTTTAACGTGGGTGGGTGGGTTGTGGAATGGGGTTGGAGGGTGGATAGGCGTTGAAACTGTAGGGCAAACGAGGAGGGTCGTCGAGTTAGAAGTGCTTTTCTATAGGCGAGCATCGAGTGCTTCGAAGTTCCTCACTCTCTCTCTCTCTCTCTCTTTTGCAACTCCAACGTGCTCACCCTACGTAAAGAGGGTGGCTCAGCCTTAATGTAGGTCAGCTGACTTGGCTACGTGGCTCGAAACAATGCGGATATCCGCAAGCTCTAACCCCAAGCGCGCTTAGAAATATCTACTTTCGTTGATGAGGAAAAGCTGGCCGAGCAATGATAATCCACTTTCTCTATACTCTCTCTCTCTCTCTCTCTCTTTCTTTCTATACATATATTATATATATGTATATGTATATATATATATATCTCTTTCTTTCTTTCGTTCTTTCCTTACCTCTTAGTGTCTTTTTGAAGAACTCGAGAAATCAGTAAAGACGAGGGAACTATAGCTACATGTACTTATATACAGTATCTCTATCGTCTAGAGTTAGATGATAGTGAATGGTGGGAGAGATGGTAGAAGTGGGTGGTTGGGTGGTTAGTTAGATAGGGTACATTCAAGTGGGATATTTTTTTCTTTTTTTTTTTTCGATCACTTCTTCTCTCCCTTCTCTCTCTCTCTCTCTCTCTCTCTTTCTCTCTCACTATATTACTAATCATTTTTATTTACATACGTTTCCCTCGTAGAATCTCTTTTTTTATATTTATTTTTCTTCTACTATTTTTTTTCCTTTTTTTTTTTTTTTTTTTTTTGATTTAGAAGAAGGTACGTTTAGCTGTCCCATGTAAAGGATATACATATATACATATGTATGTGTATAAACCAATCGGACAGGTTACGAGCAAACGACGTCTCGTACGAAGACGACGTGTTAACTCTTTAACTATCAGCGGAATTATGTTTGGTTTAG